CTGCTTCTCACCCCACCCCACCAGCGAGTAGGCTGGGGGTGCACAAGAAATTGGGAGGGGACACAGCTGGGACAGCTGACCCCAACTCACCAAAGGGATATTCCATGCCATATGACATCATGCTCAGCATATAAAGCTGGGGGAAGAAGGAGGAAGGGGGGGACGTTCAGAGTGATGGCATTTGTCTTCCCAAGTCACTGTTACGCGTGATGGAGCCCTGCTTTCCTGGAGATGGCTGAACACCTGCCTGCCGATGGGAAGGAGTGAATGAATTCCTTGTTTTGCTCTGCTTGTGTGCACGGCTTTTGCTTTACCTATTAAACTGTCTCTATCTCAACCGATGAGTTTTCTCACTTTTACCCTTCTGATTCTCTCCCCCATCCCACCATGGGGGCAGTGAGCGAGCGGCTGTGTGGTGCTTAGTTAGTTGCCGGCTGGGGTTAATCCACAAGGAATTAACAGGGCATTTCCCCCTCTACCCAGCAGCTTATGTGCACAAGATTCACTGGAAAATAACCGCATACAATGCCTCTGTCTTCCTGACAAATTAGTTGAAACTGTCAAAGTGTTAAAAAGGTATGGGAAGAGAGAAGTGTCTCTGGCTGGCTTGGCAAATACATCAGCTTCATTTCCTCAGAAAGTGAGGCTAAAAAAAACCCCAAAGCCACACTCACAAATCGTGTAAAGGACGTTTCTTCTGTCTCCCCCAAAATGTGGAACAACCCTAACCTCTTTCACAAAATTTTCAAGCTTGCCATCATGGTAATCTAAGTTCTCTATATAGTAACAAAATGCAGTTTTAAGATCATATATCGCATGTCCAAACAGGGAGGGAAAAATTTTAAGGAAAGAGTCTCAGTTTCTTATTGCAATGTGATCTTTCTTTTAACCACCAGACTATCCAATAATGTACAAATTCAATACTGTTACACTTCTAGATACAGAAAAACTATTTTATGCCTTCTGGGCACCTTCTGAATTCCCTGATTGGAAAGACAGCAGTTTTATAGGTGGGAGTATAAAAAATTTCCAGCATGTTAAAAATCTCTGGAATATTTGTGTAGTAGTTTTCCTGAAGCACATAACGTATACATAAAATGAAAGATAGCTTGGTTTAAAAGGTTTTTTTCTTTCTTTTTATATTCAAAGCTACTTTGAACTGAATTTCCATCGTTAGTATGATTCTACAACCTGACATGTTAGTTTCCACACCTCTTCACAGAGAACAGTAATTCAATAAGCATGTTCCAGTAGCAGAAGATTCTCTTTCCTCTGGTCAGACACACCCCTACAAAAACACGCCACCGTTTGTATTCCAGGGCTTTGTGCTCCAAGTGCAACTAGAACGAGCAGGCAGCAGTGCAGGCAGCAGCCTCATACTCCTGAGGCAACAAAACCAGCCCTGTGCTTCAGCTGGCTCAGCTGAGCCAAATGTATTGCATCTGTAGCCTGTACAAATATCCTATGCTGTGACCTGGAGTGACCGCTCAGTAAAAATATACTTTCTTTCTGCCACTGCAATTCCAAGGGTGGCAAAGACCAAGCAAGCTGGTAATAATTTCAAGAATGGAGTACCGATTTAGCAGAAATTTGTTACAACTTGTTTCCTTACTGCAGTACGAAGGAGCTTTAAAAAACAGACATGGACCGGAATTACGGACAAGCAGGAAATCCTGTAATTTCATAAAGTAGACATCATAGGCTAAAGAAACACTTTTATCCTGACAGAGAACCAAAGGAATAGGTCAACACAAAAACATCAGTGTTTGCAGCAAAGCCGAGAGACCTAATCAGCCTAGTTTTCAATCACCACTCTTTCAGTTACATCATGCAAATGTGTACCAGGACTTGAAAATATAATCTCCCCATCAAGTATTTTTTCCCTCTTGAAAAATTTGATGCCTGAATTCCAAGACTTGAGCTAGCCAATAGCCAAGATTAAGAAAGCCTCATGTCAACATCAGTAAAAAAGCTCCTCTGGGTTACAGAAGAAAATCAGGCAAAATGGCGTTCCAGTGAGTCTCAGTTTCCTACACAACAGCAAGTATTACACCCTACACACTAACAACAAAGCATGATCAAAGGTTGTGTTTGTTGGGTTTTTTGCTTTATAAACACGAAATCAACATTTTAAAAAAATCCTGATTTTTTTTTTTTTCTTTCTCCAAATGACCTTTAACAGCACTCTAGGGAAGGAACAGCACCCATCACTGCCATTCATTACCAACTACCTGCTGGTTGAACTCTGCAAGAACAGAGCTGCCACCTAGACAACGGCAGTATGCAACAAAT